CTGATGTGTCTAAAATGGTCATAAATGTGCCCCCATTATGATTATCAGGTTTTTGACGTTTCTAGCTACCAAGAAGATCACTTTCGCACTTATTGACTTCATGCCACCCACGTTGATTTCTTGGCCGCTTGTACCTTCTGGAGCGATATCCTCGCTTCGGAATTCTTGTTCCGCCGAAACTTGGGAGATCATTTAGCTAGGGAATCTGCTACACAGCAATAAAATCTCACCACCCTCAGTTTTTTTGGGTATCTTTTAGTCACTGGTCATTGTCTTCGAGAAAACCGTTACGATTAGAAGGAAGAACAGTAGGAGTTTGAAGGCATAGAGTACATTCGCAGCTTTGAGCGTAGTGCGCTCGCTATCTGGGCGAGTATATTTAAGCTAATTCCTCGAGGTATCTTGTCTCACGATTAAGATTTACTCCATACCAAGTCCAATAAAGGATTGTCTTTTCTGTTGACACGTCTGAAATCAGTGTACAAGCTTGTTATACTCACATCCATGCTTCTTTCTCTCAGGCTCGAAGTTCAGAGAAGCATAGGAAGATGGGCCTCATCTCGCACTTTATCAGTATGTGCATTGGCGCCTATGGTGGCGCCTTCCTTGCTCAAAATTACGAGGTTCGTTATTTAGCTGCTCCCAATCTGCCTTTCAAAAGGATAATTTCAGATAGGAAGGGTTCCATCATTATCAGAACTGGCGAAAGAGCTGGAAGGTTATCTGCAAAATGTCTCAAAGGATATGAAAAAGGATAAATAGCAGCTGATTTACTTTTCTGAACGACTATTGTATAGAAGTTGAATAGTTTTACAGAGATTCTAGGATGATGTTTGGAACAGTCAGCTTTGCAAATTTAAATTTTTGAAATATGCTAAGTACTGGTTCTTACAGTATCTCCTTGATATAGCTTTTCGATGACGGTGTTCTGCTCCATGTTTGGAATAAATTTTCTTACGTGACGAAACTTATAGTTGTGTTACACTATCACTATCCCCATCATATACGTCTGTAACATATATACAGTCCCAAAATATTTATCAGTTTAGCGCGACACACGTTCAATTACACAAGTACACAGGCATTTCAGTACAACCCATTCACTTATCTTCGCTCTTTGGTTTCCCTTCATCTTCTTTCTGAAAGCAAGGATTGAGGTTCAATACAAAATTAATGAGGATAAAAAAATCTGTACCTTTTCACCACCTGGCAGATCGTCAATGATTTGTTGCAAAAGTTCCGGATTATTGATTAATTCGTCCAGATTATCCTTAGATGATAGGATTATTGAGCTTATAGGTAACCATAGGACATACCACTTGCGCTGTGCTCACATCCATGGTGTCATCAGCTTGCTGAGACTGAGCTGCTGGCTGTGGCGGAGCTGCTGCCGGAGCTAAATAATTTTTTT